AGTACACTGATTAAACACTTGGCACAATGCCAAAAATAAATTAGTTTTTTTTTATACTAGTAATTTTCTTATGAAACAGATTGCAAACCTTTAATTCAAATATTCACTTACGATAACAATATACTTTCTAAACAGTATATAAAAAGCCGTATATTGTTATCGTTAATTTTTCTCTGTTGAAAAGTTTGCTTTTTCTAAACATATGTTGTAGTTTGTCCTGCTGATATCCAGCCAACTTCTGTCACTTATTAATAACAGGTCAACTGTTATAGCCTACTGATATTCTGCCAACTTTTGTTATATGCTAGTTTTGTCACGTGATATTAGGAATGTACATATTTTTACACATTTCGGTAAGTTAGTCCCGACACGAGGCGTATGTGGCTGTTGAGGAGGGATCACGGTTTTCTCCCTCAAGGGTTGTCCCGTTATTTGTCCGTAGTACCTCTTCAGAAGAAGGTATGTTTGTATCCTCGTGATCCGACGATTGTGGGGAACTGGTCTTTGGAACTGCACTTTCTGTAAAGTTTGAACATTCCTTATATGTCGACACTGCAGAATCAACAGCTTCTGTAAGGAGTTCTTCAGTATGGCTGTCACTAGCCGATGTTTTAGAAACAGCGGTGGTGTGAGTTTTCTTGGGTTGCTTTTTCTTACCACTACCTGATTCTGGTTTTTCACAACTCACACGAAGTTCTGCCGCCTGGGCGTTCGTTACGCCATCTAGCTTCTTCCACTTCGTCCGTCTGTTCTGGAACCAGATCTTTACCTGAAATATTTATTACAATAACTTAGATTTCATAATACTATTATTTGCCGGTAGTAACAAGCTCAATAACTAGACAGATATTACATATCCACAAAAGATCGACATTAACTCCTTGGTTAACTCAATTATGCAGTTAAATAATGCACAATATAATGGTCATGAGTGAATGACTTTAAAAGCCCATTGAAAGACAACTCTTTGACACAAGTTCTAATCCCGTGCATACAACCCACGCTAGAAAGAAACTCTCTGTGTTTTACTATATCTTCTTGCATTCAACAATCCCACAGACTATACACCTGAGCTTTATCACTAACTGAGTTAACACTTAAATTAACTTACCAATAACTTTTGGTCACAGTAAGCTAACTACCTACATCACAACTATATTTTGTAACTAATTTAATGTACTAACTAACATAACTTTTGAAAAGCTATGGATGCAAAAACAAGTGCGATTTTTTCTAGATATAAACAAGATTATTATATTTACAATGTAATTCAAATCCGTTTAGGCTATTTCGACATGTTAATTATCTTTGTCATAAAACATTAGTATTAGACTTATCAAATGCTTAACGCCGCATTCTTTATCTAGTTCCTTAGGGAGTTTCAAGAAGTAGTAGAATTTTTGGTAATAGTATTCCAACTACTGCTGTGTTTGTTGTATCCAAGCCGACCTGATGAGTCAGGATTGAGCGAAACGCATCGCCGGGAATGGATATGGCGAACATAGCATGGTTAGAATACTAGCGTTATACATTCTTCTAATTCTTGAAAATCCCTAAAGGACAAGACAAAGCACGCAATTATAAAAAATATGATAGGCCGATTACTACTGTCTTATGAAAAATATAATTAATGGCCCCCAGTGGCACAGCAGCATGTCAGAAGGCTTATAACACTAAAAACCGGATTTTGATATCCGTAGTGGAGACAGCACACAGAGTCAATTGTGTAGCTTTACATTTAACAATTAATTAATTATAATCATGCTTCGACAGCATGGAAAAAGCGTTCACAACAAAACAATTCTACATTTTGTTTTTTTTTTTATGTAAACAAGAGTATTGTTTTTACTCAGTAATCCAGTTCTCTTTAGGCTATTCAACATTTTTACTTTTAAAGTTTTTTCATGATTGAAACGTTATACATATTGTTTCAGAATATTTAACCAAATAATTTACTGAAATGTGTTTTTAGACGGCTAACGAATCTACAAATTAAACAAGCTTATGACTCATTTGCTGGAACAATTTCAAATTACTAGGCAGGTAACAAAACGGAGTGGGTATTGTAAAGTGACGTGAATGAAAGTTTCAAAACTTGTTTGTTTGTTTGTTTGTTTG